ACCCATACAGAGATTATAGAGATCATTACTATTTTCAGAAACGTTTTTAGTGCCTAGCCATCAAAATAATTTGACTAAAAAGGCACTGCATTCATAATAGGATTAAGGATTGAAATACACACATACAAAAATTCAGTGTAGTGGTTTTCAAAGCGGTTATCTGTACATCTTCAATACAATATGTAGATTTTTTTCTGTTTAAAATATTTTTGCTGGAATACATTTATGCAATGTTAGTTAAATTATAGTTCTGGGATTTCTAAAGCTGTTGATTCTTGCTTCTTTAAAACATAGTTTGGGGCTGAATTTCCTTGCCTGTTTGCAATGTTTTGTTTTATAGCTAATCACAATGGGGGTACAAAGGGAAAAACATTACACATTACAATAATTTCATTCTGATTTCACTGCACCTTGTATACATTCTAATGATTTACATTTTCCATTCAGTTGCCTGCATGTGGTTATTCTTATAAAGGGACAGAAGGCTCCAGTGGTAAAACTCAGCATTCTTGCTCGACATTGTCTTTACAATTTACAAGCCCACCACGGGGCTGAATTCCATGGATGGCATCCAGGAGTTAAGCATGGTGGGTAACATCTGATGAAGATCCACAATACAATATAAGTGCAGCAAGTATTACAGACATTCCACAGAGCTAATGGTTGATAGATGTTTGTATTTCCATATGAAAGAGGAACAACAAAAGTAAAAAGACAACTTCATGGTTTTAAGCCTTTAGTATGAATAGACAGGTATAACAATAACAAACCTGTCTAAAACAAAATTCAAAATGCTGCAAAGAGAATGTTGCTCTACATTGCTTTTAATGGCGATAATTTAATGGACATGCTTCCATCTGCCCCGCTAGTGCCTCTGCCCCACAAGAGCACAGGCTCACACATGTGCACACATACAAATGAAGGACACAAATAACAATTTGCTGTTCTTCTGTTTCAGAGTATCCAATAAAAGTTGCCTGAAAGTGCCATATGAGACTTAATGATGCACATCTTATTATCAGAGCTGGCATAAGAAAAGAAAATGTTTCACTTTTACCTCTTATTCCCTGAAATAGAGATCTACAGTATACCCTCACTTGCCCCATTCTCATTGTGTGAGCACACACACACACACACACACACACAGAGAGAGAGAGAGAGAGAGAGAGAGAGAGATTCTTCTCACCCCAAGAGAAGGAAAGGTATTCTGTTGAGCTTTCAAAAAGCAAAGAGAACAAGTATAGATTTTTAAAATAAATTATGTGAAATGGTACAAATAACACAATTAATTCAAATAATGCTTTCATATCCAACAATTTGGATTTTTCACTGCACAGATTTTTAAGGACCAGAAACCTCAGAAGGGTTGTTTGCATTCATTAAAAAATAATTCTGTTGTCCTGTGTGCTATGTGGTTTTGCTTCCTCAAAGGAAAGGCCACTATGTTTGTGCAGAGATAGTCCACACAAGATTGTGGAGATCTTAATGAGAAAAAGTAATACTCTCATCTACAAGTGGACTAGGAGGAATGCAAACTCTCATCATAGTTTCTCTCTGTTCTGCAGTGACTTTCCAATTCACTCTTAGGACCAGAGAGAAAGAGGAAACAACTAGAGATAAATCAATATCAGCTTTATTGTAACTCCTATTAAACATAGTTTCTAAATGACCAAGATGTGAAACCCTACAAGTGGACTAGGAGGAATGCAAACTCTCATCATAGTTTCTCTCTGTTCTGCAGTGACTTTCCAATTCACTCTTAGGACCAGAGAGAAAGAGGAAACAACTAGAGATAAATCAATATCAGCTTTATTGTAACTCCTATTAACCATAGTTTCTAAATGACCAATATGTGAAACCATGGTTTAAACATTACTGCTGGTTTCAAATCCTGATGCAATGTGGGTTTGGATAAACGTAGCCCTGTGGTTAATGATGCTGATGTAACCCTTCATCATAGTTAATACACTGCTGGCCCTTGCGGCCGGAATGTGGCCGGGGCATGTCACAACAGTAGAGGGGGAGAGAGGGAAGGAAGGAAGGAGTTGGAGGGGAGGGGACAAGGGGGCTGCGTGACTGCATTCCGCCGTCCCTGTCAATAGGTGGACCCCCTCCCAGCCCCATAAAGCCACCGGAGTCGAAGCTGGCAGCTTCTGCTGTCTGAGATCACAGCTGCCAGTAAGCACGCTTGGAGTGGGGCTGCGGAGGACAGCTAGGGCTGCCCCCCCCATGCGGCCCAAACCAAATGTATGTGCAGCCCAAACCAAATTTTCATCTTCTAATGTGGCCCAGGGAAGGTGAAAGGTTGGACACCCCTGGTTTAAACATTACTGCTGGTTTCAAATCCTGATGCAATATGGGTTTGGATAAATGTAGCCCTATGGTTAATGATGACGCTGATGTAACCCTTCATCGTAGTTAAGATGGGAAGGACAAAATTAATTCCAGAGAGGGAGCTAGTTATAAATCCAAACATCAATAGCATATAACTACACGGATTAAAAGACCAACATTCTTCCAGTGCTCCTATTCTTTTTAAAAAGTTAACTGTCTGATGTACTTTCACACAAGAAGTAATCCTCAAGGCTCTGTTTTGTTGAAGCTTAAAGCTCTTTCCATCTGTGGCTTGCTATATTCTCTGAAGTGGCCTGTCCCTTCACAGACTGGAAACAAGAAAGAAAAAGATAGTCTGTGTTCCATCTGATAAAAGTAAATTGTGAAAGCATTTTCATGTTTCACAAGAGACAAGATGACAGTTACAATCATCCCCCCACAAGAGACGGAGATAGAACTTCCAGAGAGCTAGCATAGGAGAAAACAAGCTCTGGAAATGGACAACTGTCATAACTCACAATAATAATATTTTAGCAAAGCATCCACAAGCAGAAAAAGAATAGGAGACTGACTTACTATACAGAGGAACGAACAAAAAGGGACTGAATCCTGATATAGACAGTGGAGATTGTACAGAATTATAGGAGCCTGTGTTACTTCTCTACAAGCAATAGAAATGATGTCAGCCATGAAGGATGCCTACTACAGCAACGTGAAGGATCAAGTTCAGGGTCTACATATAAATGACTCGAGACATCAAGAGCTAGACATCAGCTCTTTCAGGGTGTCTGATTAAACTTATTAATAAAGTTCTAACTCTGCTGGTGATGGATGTAGGCACATAAGCCCCACACCACACATCCCTGCCTGGAAATTAGCCTACGTTTTGTGCATTCAACATTAAGGTCTGAAGAGAATCTTGTAAATGTGCTTGGCTTAATGGGCTTACAGAGTTCCTGTGATTGGAAAACTTGCTAAGGAGGGCTCCACATCACAGGAGCTCTGTAATCACACTCAGCCAAATATATGTAAAAGCTCCACTCTTCTTCAGACTCAAGGCACCAAGGTCTGATTGATGTCCAGGTCAGGGGCCACGGCAACGAGACTTGTAAAAGTTTCTCAGTGTTACAGCCATATTCATGTATTCAGGAAAATGTTTTAATAGGGCTGTATTGGAAAGTTTCCAAAGGCACAATATAGAGTACCATATGAATGTTCCTAAATGCAAGGAGCATCTGCATGAAAACAATTAGCAGGCAACAAGTTGATGGTATATATGTAGATTTTTTTATCCATCCAAAAGCAGGTGAACTGTAGCAGTCTATAATGTTTTCATTATTGAAAGGTCAATAGGGTCTACTGCGTAAAATACAGGCAAATTAATTTCACACATTTGTAATGGAAAAAGTATTCTGTAAATACATAGAAAATATAGAAAGGTGAAGCAAAAATGTTCATAATCATTTTATTAATTCAGAATATGAAATAGAATATGAAAATGAGATTTAATATGGCCTCTGCAAGTCTGAGAATTCTGTTCCTCCTTTGAATGCAATGCCCACAGAATCACACCACAATAAATGACTTATTAATTCCTTATTCAGAGTTTTTCAGCATATGCCACTTTTGTTATTCAGAGAGACATTTATGCTGCGAGAGCACAATAACTGGATAACCCCAGTTTCAGAAACTGCATTTATTACCTCAACACTGTGGCTAATTATTATTCCCATTGCCGGTTACCCCCTCCCTGCATTTCATCTGGGTTGGTTAGAGGTGTAAATCTTTGCATAATCCATTCTCTTAGGTTAATGTGAAGCTTTTCATGTTTCCTCCTTACTGGGCAAGATTGCAACAGTTATTATGCATTCTTAATATTTTAGGATTCAATAGCAAAATATGAAAGTAACATTTTATGCAAGAACATATTTAGTGCGAAAGTTGCATTTTGCACAAAAAAAAAGATATTTGTGCAAAATACCACTTTTGCAAATGATCACAATGATGGAAAAATACTGGTCACTGCATTCTGGTATACAATTTTTAAAAATCACATCTGCTACTCTTTTTCCTGACAAGGTATTTCAGTGTATTGAGGCACTCTTTTTCTCAGAGAATTAAAAAATTCACAAGCATCCATTACATCTTTAATGGTGGTCCAAGCAGTGCACAGTATGATTTGTTACCCTCCAAAAGCAACGAAAAATATAAATGTTGAACTTTCTTTAGTAGGCTGATTGCTTGAACTTTTGTTAAACAACGCAAGTATAATTCTATTAATAATGTTTCCTTCACATTGGGAAAACAGTTGGACACATTCTTTTAGAGCTTACTGAACACATATCATGGCTAAATCTGGTGGTGAACATCCAGAAGCAGCATTGGTGTTCCATCAGTGTTGCTGGGAGGGGTGGCTTCCCTGTCCTACTGCAATTCTCAACGAGTCCAAGCAACCTGTTCCAGAGGGCAGGGAAAACCTTTCAGAGCTGAGTTTTAGATAGTGTTGAAGGCTGAAGATTTGGGGGAAGGAGGAACATGCCATGTTCTGGTATGACAACATCAGCAGGATGTTGGATCCAGGCCAATACATCTGTTGTACAAGCAGAAAAAAAAACCCTACACAATGGCATTACATTCAAAGCCTGTCAAACAAAAGCACACAAGGAACAAGTTTAGAATAGGGCCAAATACTTTGCAGAGACTAAAGGCAGAGAAGCAGGACGGTTAATGGCAAAGGAAGAGAAATGGCAGAAAGACCCAGAGCTCTCATCCCAAAAGCCTCACCCTTGGCCACAGGACATTTTATGTCCTTTAGCTCGGTGGCTCTCAATGTCTTGTATTTTGTATTCTACAAATCATTGTACTGAGTCCCAGCTTGACGGAGACAGAAATCCATGGATATATAGTTAAATTTATCATTTATGGCAAGTTTTAAGGACATTAAAAGTAGCAATAGGTTTGTTAGAGAATGAGGCAGAAGAACAATTTATTTTTATTTTATTTTTTTTATATCCCGCCTATCTGGTCGGGTCAAGACCACTCTAGGCGGCTAACAACATAAATAATACAATAAAATTAATATACGAAACAATTATTAAATGGTAAGACATTACACAAGGTGGGAGGAACAATAAGAGAGGAAAAAAGGTGTTAAGGGGCATCAGGGATTATCTGATGGGAAGGCCTGCTGAAACAGCAACGTTTTTAATTGTTTCTTAAAGATACAATGAAAAATGCTGCCAGGAGATGGCACACAGTAATATTTGCTTGGATAAAACGGGGACTTGAGAGAAACCCTGAGTTTCTGAATTTAATACTAGTGTGGCAAAATGAACAATAATTTACAACAAGGTAGGGTATAGTAGGCTCAGTAGGAGATAGGAGATCATACTTGGATGGGATTGAGAGAGAGCATGTTTTGAATAATAGTGACAGCATTGTGTCTCATTTAGCCTACTTCTACATCCCATTAGTGCTGCTTGTACCACTAGTGGCTCAGAACCACAACTTTAGCTACTTCTAATAACAATAAACATAGCATAGGAGAAAAAACATCTCTTGTCACCAGCCACGAAAACATCCTGTCAATGACAAGTATACTATATATATTTTTCCTCAGGTTTTCTTGTTATTTTGTACACTCTTCACATGTGAAGAGTTTCAAAAGATTCAGTTACCTACAAGATTCAATTACCATATCATATTCACTGTCATAGTTCAGTGATTTGCCTTCATGTATTGTGGCATTGCTCTTATTATAGCTATGTTAATACCACGCCTATCCCTTCTCTTCTTTCTGGTGATATTTTTTAGGCGACACAATGAAATCTGCCATCTTTATAGCAGGGAACTGATGCTGTTAGACCACTTCCTAAAATTCACCACGAACCATATCAAACAGAAAAGGCTGATGAGTGGTCCTAAATAATGACTTGGTTTTTGTGTTTGTTTCTTTTATTTAAGCCGGGGGCCATATTTTTAGGAGAAACCCTTTAACGCAACAAAAAACTAATCCCTTGAAGAGACATGATTCATTATCCCTTCTCATGTACTTGGGCAAAGATCAAGAAATAATAGTCAGAATCTATCCATATATCATAAGTTATATTTTGAATGTGGCTGAAAGTCCACTTGTCTAACAACACCAACAAGAAACAATGACTACATTGACATAGCGAAACGAAACACAGTGTGGGTTGCAGAAATCTGACCTTGCTGTGATGTACATCAAATATATATCCATTAACAAGCCACATTTTCAACCAGTTAATTTGAGATTAGCACTCACGGGGATAATTTAGCATAAACATTATAAAATTGTAGTTGGTGAGAGCTCATATATGCTGCAGCAGCCTAAAAGTTTACAGGGGGCACTCCCTTTCTTCCCAAGATGGATGACACCTACAGCATTTCAAACAAACAGGGGTGCCTAATATTTCAATCACCCTTGAGAGGGTGTGTGTGAATCAAATAGAACTTGCTAGTTGTTAGAAACCAAAGGTGTGCCTTGTGATTTAAACTGAAACCTGGAAAACTGACTCTAGAGTTGGAAAATTATAATTGCATCTTCTTCAGTGAAAAATAGGGTGAGTTGCTTCTAGAGTCAGCCCTGCCCTGAAGTAAATGTTGTGGGAGTCAAGTGACTTAAGGATTAGGCCTTTCTACAAAAAAGTATTGACAGGCATAAAACTTCCAACTAAGTAAGCAGCTTTAGAAACTAGCCTTCCCCATGCCTAAGTGTTGTGTTGTCAGGCATAGACTTTCCATTATGTAAGCAGCTTCAGGGACTAAACCTCTCCACAGGGAAGTGTTGCCAGGTAGAGGCTCCCAAGCATGATATGTGGCTTCTAGGATGGTTGTTGTAGCAGACACATCTGTAGGTCTGAGATAAGTTTCTTCACTCACTTGCCCTGAGTCACCTAGGGAGTATACTAGTCTGGGATGGATGTTTTGGCTTTCACTTGGGTTCAGTACTGGGTTTCCCCTCCAAGGACTTTAGATGACTTACATCCTGGGGCATCAGCTGTGGACATAAAGGGGGCAAACAAGCTGTAAGGCCACAATTACACGTCAAGCTATGCCAACGCTTTGTCAGCTACTCTCTCCTTTTTTTTACTCACTACAATGCCTGCTCTCACCATCATGTTCCCATTCTCTATCCTTCTGTGTCCATTTCTCTGCCTGTATTCCATCTCTGTGTTCCTTCCTCTCTGCTCCTCCAATGCCTCCTCCTTTTATCCCCCTACCTTGTATATTATCCACTTCTCGTTTCATCAACTTCTCAGAGTTGACAGGCAACTAGCTGCTGCTGCAGGGTGCATTATCTCCA